CCGAAGGAGAGGTTGTATTAACAACACAACGTGGTTTAAGCACACAACAACAACAACAAAAAAAAAAAAAAAAAGGAAGAAAAGAAAAAGCTCCCCTCTTCCCGCCAAAAATTATGCGGCAGCAGGTCCACAGAGTGTCTGCCAGATGACCTGCTTGTCACACTCATAATTGCTTCCCATCTGGTGTCTGGAGCACACAAAGCCTGGCCGTTTGCCAGCACAGGACAACGCACAAACTGGCCTACTTCTGGTGACACAGGCCCTCCAGACACCGCTGATCCGCTCCTTTCCCCTTTCCGTATGGCTGAGGAGAACGTGGCATTCATTTGTAAATTGCCGGCGGCTGTTTATCCAGCTATTTGGGGCCGCTCTGCCCAGCTAACGTGCTTCCCCTTTGCTGCGTGACGGCAGCCCGAGCCCCAGTGCTGGGACAAGTCCTCTCCAGCACCGAGCTGCCAAAAACACACGCTTGCCAGCATGAGAAGTAGGCAGACAAGGACACTGTCCTCCCATACGCCACTCAGATTTAAGGTGAGTGTATCGAGCCAACTCATCCCTACACATACATGCAAACACATCCTCAGCTGCTCTGATTGACAAGGTTGATTGCTTTTCCAAACTTTGTCTTTCCATCTAATGTACATGCATAGCTCATTTTGTTCATATAGTTCCTACAAAGACTTTTGAGTCACTCTGTGTGCGCTACATAAGTACGACTACTTATGAGCATGGTCTTTCAATAAGTTTTCCTTGAGTTTTCTTTGTTTTACAGGTTTGTTCTATTGATGTTTTTTTTAAAAAAATATTCTTTATTTAATGCCTACTGGTGTAAGAACATGATACTCTCAGAAAACTTAGAGGACTCCTTTAAATTCTGTACCTCACAAAAAACACACACATCACTGAAGCAGAAGAGAAAATGAAATTAAAAAAGAAACCGGCACCACCAACACAAGCTGATACTGAAGAAGGCCATGTTGCACATCTGTTACTCCAGATGCAAACAGAAGCTGCACTACTGAAGGTTCTTCATAATCATTAATATGGAATACAGTGCGTATGGGCATTCGGATTTTTACTTTATACAGAAATGTAAGACTATGTATAAATGTCCAGAGCTTACCTGCTCTTCCAATGCACCGTGCTAGCAGAACTACAAGGATCCTATTGTTCCCTTCAGCTGCAGGGCAAGAATCCAACCCACTCAAGGGATAAGCTGGCTGTCTCCAGGGGAAGCCACACAGACCAGTACACTGCAGAGGGACCAATCTTTTGGCTCAGCTGGCACACAAACAGTAATCCACAGGTTTCTCATGAAAGTAAGCATTTAAGCCTGAAAAGCTTCAGTTTACACAAGGTCAAGGAAATTTATGAAAAAATTAAATGAGGTCTAGCATTAGAAAACATTGGTGTATTTTCTGCGTAGGTACCGAACCTGTATCTGAGTGTTTGTCACAAAACCAAATGCAAGAATCAATTCGTTTCGGAATTTTTGTTCTTTGCATTGTGTCAAACCTTGGTCACAGCTATGGTGCACCTGTGGTCAGTTAATATACAGCGTTAAAAGGCTTATTTCATGAAGCTTGATTCACTCACAACATTGATTCAGTTTTAATTCAGTGCAAATATAGTATTCTCATGTAAAACCAGAATAATAGCAGTAGGAACTGGGCTTATTCTCACCAATCAATTGCTTAAAGGTAATTTCTTCCAAGTAAAAGCCAGGCTCATGTGTAAAGCTTCCAGAGTCCTAATCTAATCAAATTTAGGGTTGTAGTTCCTTCCAGGTTTGGCTTATTGGCTGTCCATCCACTCTACTTTCTTTCAGTGAGCAAAGTTGACATAGAAAAATTAACTAGTCACATTGTTAGACTTCACTTTCATCTACCTAGACTTCACCCTGATTTCAGATGTCAGCAGCCAGCCACAAGAGCAAATGCTCTACAGTCAGCCCATCTCGCTTGTTCCAGGCGATGGAAAACTTCACACATACAAACACAAGCAGCTCTGCAGGATGTTCATATAGTGGTCTGGCTATGACAGCCAGAACCCCAGCAAAGCCCCAGTGACAGTCACAGTTTGTATATACAGCCTAAAGCTAGGTGATACAAATTACCAGGACATATTTCTGAAGACCTGGCTTGTGTTAGTCCCTCTTGTCCTTTTCCTTCACCAGATTATCTTGATTGTTTGCTGTTTATATTTTGTCACAAAACTGGGAAAGGCAATAGATATTATCTATTGAATGCCCATGTTTCCAGCAAAATAAGAGAGTCAAAGTGTAACACTAATTCAGATTAATGCATTTGTGACTACTAGTTAGGGGGTAGGAAAAAAAAAAAATCACAACGCACAGCTTACTCTTGCGTTTAACTCCCAAAACCCAGGCATGCATACTAAAATATCACTTCTACCATACAAATGAAAGGAATGAAAAAGCTTTACACTAGCAACGTTCTTCATCCCTCAAGCGGCCTCCTATACATAAATATTTGTGTTAAAGCTTTGAGAGACAAACACAAACTGTTAATGAAACACAAGTAGGCTTACAAAGTAAGTTGGGCTGAAGCACATATTGTCAAGGGACTCCATCCTGCTGTGTAACCCACTGATGCCCACGATTGTTGCTTGTCTCTGCCCAGTCCAGAGAAGGTAAGTTTCTTGCAGTTTCACATGCACACACACATACATGTTCCTTTAACCAGCACCAAGTGCTTAATTTCTCAAATAAAAGGCACCTACAGTAACCTGGTATATAGTTGCTTTATTTCTGACATTAATATGGTCTGTATTGTATGTGAGATTCTCTTACATAAAAGAAAAGTTTGTAGTACAACAAAAACTAAGATAAGGCATTTGTTGCACATTATGTCAAACCTTAAAACAAAAATATGGAATAATATGTATTTAGGTTTCATGCAAGTTTGGTTGCTGCATGTACAATCTACTTATAAACTGAAAGAAATGCAAATGCACACAACATTCAAAAAGTAATAAAAGATGCCTGACATATGAAAGATTAAAACCTTCCTGCTAAAGCAACAAAGTAGGAGTTAACTAAATGATCCAACCAATACCAACACAAATGAATACTACTTACCATAAAGCTATGCTTAAACTTGGTATAGGCAGTTTTGGTGATGTCACTTATACTGAAATATACCATCCAGATTCTAGATATTCATTCTCTCTCAATGTTTTATTTCATTTTTTTGTGAATTGAATGCTGTCTCCAGCATTAAATGTTGCTGTCAAATCCATTCGGGTAACACACACTTAAATCTAGTACTGCCAAGAATTCCAATTGCCTCCTCTCAATTTTCATAGGTGAGGAGTAATCCTGGCATGATGGGTATTTTCTGATCCCCTTGCTTATATAGGATTCCCCTCGCCCCCCTTAAAATTTTGATGTGAATTAAAAACTGCTAAAAATGTTTATGCCTACTACTATCATAGCCAGGCAAATATTTATATCAAAAGCTCCTAAAAATAAGGATTGTATAAGCTTTGAGATGTTTAAAAAAGTGTAATAACCCATTACCTTCCTTGTGCCACTCATCCCATTTAAGTTCTCCATTAATAAATTATTCTCTACCATCTTTGATATTAAAGTGATAGGAATACTTTCCACCTCTGCATAGTACTGGTTGATCTCATAAAGTTAACTAGAGAACCTGACATCACTTTTTTAATTTTACATACAGTGCATATGATGCTCGCTCTTTCCATCTCTCATAGCAGCAAGCTGATTCTGCCACTATCTGTAGCAGCACACCCGGAAGTGGAGAGGAAGAGTGTTCTGAATTATAAATAACTAAAACTACAGTGTACAATTCTATTTACCTGTCAGTATTTGTTGATAGCACACCATTATAACTTGCTAAAAATTAACTATATAAAAATCTCTACAACATAAGCAAATCAAAACATTCCTTCAAAAAAAAAAGACATAAGTGCAAATACCTAAAATAGGCAACTAAAGCAACTGTTGTGACCTGTATACCTTTAAATAAGGACAAAGGTTTTTCATAAATAAAAGAATGCTCTCTTTGCTCTTCAGACATTTAGTAAGTATATAATGGTCAAACTTAAGTGCAGATACAATTGTTTTGAGATCCAAGGTGCCAAGTTTCTTTTTTAAGAAAACAAAAATTAAAATGCATTCGTTTTTAGTTCCTATGCAGGATGAAGTACTCCTGGGTCACATATAGGACCCCACCATTCCTTTCTAAATATATTTAAACAAGGTACAGGAACAGTTGCTGTATAATACAGGTATACCTTGTAATTATTTTTGTAGACCAACATGATTTAAGGGTTATAGTGCAATCTTTATGTAGATGTAACATACAGTATAGATTTGTACACTTCACCACTGTAATTCTTCTGCTGTTCCATACTTTAAACTTGTCCTTTTTTCATTTTAGCTGTTTTAACAGGAAACAACATTGGCTTCTAGACAACCTGCATACATATAAATATCTACATTTAAGCTTTAAAATGAAAATAAATTATAAAAACAGACTCCTTTCCAATTTACAAAATTTTCTGGTCCTACATACTGTACAATACATTCAACAATCATCTCATTTTGAGATTTATGAAGAAAATACTGATGCTTTACACTAAAACCTAATTCACCCCCCCACCTACTTCTAGTACCATTTGCAAATAAATATATTTAACACTGTAGCTAATTTCATTGTTTTGCAGCATACCAAGAAAATTAGTAGTGCAACTTTCTATCCTTCCTTTATACTCCTTTCCATTGTGTTTCTTTACATACTAGAAAAATGCTACATAAGCAAAAGCACATTCAGTCATGTATGTTGCTCATTTGGAAACCAGTAAGAACCTATAAACCTACTCTATATTGAAAATGCATTAACAGAAAAAAAGCAATGCAAGTCAAAAGAATAAATATGAAAAACAGACCTAAAACTGTATGTTGTCAGTACTGCAATGTATTTTACTATTCTTTATCATACTTTAGGGTGTTTGTACTGTCTGTAATATCCCTTTGTAGAGAATACGAGAGCTTCGTTTGTTCTTTGTCAGTCAAAAGAAGAAAGGAAGCTTTAAGGTAGCTTTAAGGTTTCCCTTGGCAGACTGCCTCGAAGTAAAGAATTAATTCACAAGTATTGTGCTGGAATCGTCTTCAACACTGCGTCGGTTTCAGTGGAAGGAGATGTTTGTCAGTTGCAGAGACCATCACAGTATCAGAGCCCTTGAAGTGCTGCTGGTAGCTGTGTATGTGCTCAGATATCTTCTTGCTTGTTCAGTCATGATAAGCTGGTCTTCTGTTTTTCCATAAACAACTGCTTCCCATTCACAATTTGACTGCATAAAATAAAATTCAGTTAAAAAGATTCTTTTAACCAACTAAAATACTTGAGCAATTCTTGTACAACCTTTCAGAGTAATAAGAAATTATCAAAGTCTAGCAATACTGTATTTTACTCAAAAGGATTCAGTTCTACAATACAATACGATACCTAAAACCTGTCACAAAGCTCCCTCTCCACCCCTTAATCCAGCTCCCCAGCAGTTCATCTGTGTTATGCTTTAAGTTCTTACACACAAAATGAAAAACTCTTAAAAAGAGACTAGTTCAACAACTGATACATAAAAGGGATGTTAAGTCATCTTCTCTTTGGATATCTTCCCCTTTAAACCTGCTAACTTCAACAGGCAGAAAAAATACATTATTGGCAGCTGTCTGGAGACACCAAGGAAGGCAAAATGGTTTGGCAGATGAAAAAGAAAACTGTGAAGGACTTCACTGAACGGAAGTGGCAGCTGTGTAAGAACGGTCACATGTTTGGGGAATATATTAGAAATGGCAAAGGAATTAGGAATAAAAATAACAACTGGAAGAATAATTGAGCCACTAGTTCTGCTTCTTCCATGAAGCAAACCCTGCACATTTACATGATTTATTGAATCTCAAGCTGATTTGTAGCTGCTCTAAATTGGAGCCGAGACTAGCAGACTACAGCATAATGAAGAATGCAAGATTCTCTCCCTCCAACATTGAGCTAGAAACGGATCCAAAGGATCAGTTCCACATATAGATGCACTGAGAAAATTAGCTATTTGAGTTTCTCTATGAATTTAGCATGACTTGATTCATGGAAGGGACTCAGGATTAGAGAGGCCACTAAACTGAGAGGGAATTTCTCAGGTGAAAGAGCAAAAAGAGAAAGATTGTTCAGTGAGAATATTTGTGAGTATTGTATGACTAAGCTCCCTTTTAAGCAGTCTTGAGAGCATAGTTCTGGGAGAGAGATATGTATTCACCTTTGCAGCTATTCACAGCAGTTAATTCTTTGTTTGGCATATCACAATTAAATGAGGTTTGTTCTTTCTTCTCATAAGAAAGGATCAGAAAGTAATACTGTTGTCTCTGTACTTAAAAACACATCACCATTAAAGCAACTAAGTGGGACCTGGAAGATGAGGCTCCAGGTGCCCTACCTTTTTTTTTTTTTTTAATAAATACAGAGCTGTAAATATTCTGAGAAGACACAAAAACTTTATCCATTAACTCCCAATGGGGCAAACTGGAACAAGTACCAAGTCAGGTCAAAGAGAATCTCTCCCTAAACCTGGTGGTCAAGACACACACAGAGGAAAAACTTGGTTCTCCACAGTTTTAACAGGATGGGAAATATACTGATGTACAAGAACAAGCATGTTACAAGAACAATTGCCAAACAGAACCTGTGGATGAACTCTGCTTAATGAATCCCACTGGGCTTATTATGAAGTAAGCGCCAGCTGAATTTGAGAAGCTTAGGTTTTGTAAAGATTTAGTTTGCACCAAGTCAAGTTTTCTTACTGCTGGACTTGGGTACCCACACCTGTTTTGTAGGTGTATCCTATCCTGATTTTTTTTTCCCCACATTTAAATCTTAGAGGCTGCTCAGTGAAATATCAGGGTTGTATTTAAAGAACTTAGATATGAATAAACACTTTGTGGACAAATGATCAACTTACAAGAAATAAAGATCATGGAAACACTGACTGAAATTAGATCCCTGAATCGAACAATTCTAGACATTAGTACAAGACAGAAACCAGAAAGAAATCCTTTGTTAACCTCCTAACAAAACTAACAGAATTCTTTGCATCCAGACCTGAAGAGCTTTTTCCATTTTGACATTTTTTGAAGCACATGCATTCAGTTTCTTCTTGATTACTGCATTTGCTTTGTCTGCTGGATTTGTATCCTGGTTTTCTGATGTCAGGTTGCATCTGTTGTCATGTATTTCCAACAATGGTGTCATTAACAAAGATGTGGTATATGCATTTTCTGACTATTGACAAAAAGAGGGCAAGGAACAGGAACAATAATTAGTATTTAATTTACAAAAAAAAAAAAAAAAAAGTCTTCAATTGCTGTGATCAAAGAAGCCAAAATGTAAACAAAGCAAATACTATAAGAAAGACCCTCAGAAAGAATCTGAAAAAGAAAAAGTAATGAAGAAAAAAGAGTATATGAAGAACTAGCCTGGTCTATACTGGGATTCATAGTCAATACTGAGCACAGTAAAACAAGTAGCTGCTAGCATGATTTCAGCATTACCAAGTAGACAGTTTCTTTCATATATAAAGCCAAGCTACAGTGGATTATATTTTGTTAAGAGAAAGACTTGATAAAGTGGTAACTACAGAACAGTTCTAAAGAAAAAAGCTTGTAATTCACTTCTAGTACAACCTTTGTGAAAGTAAGCATGAAGAGACTGGAGTAAAAAAAATAAGATCACATCAGTATCAGGAAGAGGAATTGCTTTAAGAACTGAAATAAGCACTGCATTGATAATTTCAGAAGAGTTTTATATGCTGATGTTAATAGAAATATAAAGAAATTAATTCAGCTTCACTACAGCAAAGCAGAAGAAAGGTGTATCGCAATTTTAGAGAGCAAAATTAGATGAGAGTAACAGTGGCATATGTACTTGTTCACTTACAAAACCCCCCCATTAAACTGTGTTAAACTACCTTTACATATTTATTCTACCTCAGACCTTACTCCTAACTTACCACCACATGGACACACAATTTCTACATAAGGATTTGTACATTTTTAATTTTTAAATCAGGTACTACCACTATCTCTCCTGCTAAGAGCCAATGTTCCTGTTGCACCAGCATCCCTCATTAAAATGGAGGAAAAGCAATTCTTTTTCCCACTCCACTGCCTTTAATACACCACAACATCAGAGTGTATCTTGGTTTTAGCTTAATAACCTGAACATCAGTGATGCACAATATACCATGTCATAACAAGACATTACTAAGAGAACACGGGACATTTTGTTTCTGTTTTGAACAGCTGCAGAAATGCTCCTCCTAAGATAACGTTCTTGGGGAAGCAGGGAATTTCCACTAGGTGGCAGAGAACCCAACACCCAGCAGACAGACACCTAGGCTTGGCACAGTCTACCAGGCATTTAAGAAGGGAATTTAGAAAACCAGCTACAATAATCAGGGGTATGACTTAAGGACCTGCTCTTTTTAAGGACTTTGGCTCCCACCTCATGAATATAGCTTTATACCTGATCAAGAGTCACAGACATTTATTCTTTCAGAATTAAACATACACATACATTAATTCAAGAACTAGGTTAGAATAAAGTTTTGCTACAAACTACAAGACTAAAGATTAATCTATTCAATCACTCAACTGCAAAAATATTGGGCTATTTTTTAAAGGAATGAGGGACCAAAACAGCCCCATCTCTGAACTCTTGATGTCTTGGTTGTTGAGGTAGAAGTATTTAAATTCCTTCAGGCAGAGGAAGCCCACAAACCTCATCTTCTACATGCTTGATATTTCTTAAAGTATCCCCCTACTATGTGAAGTGGGAAAAGGAAAAACATGCTGCCTAACATGCAATTAGGTATCTTCAGAACATGTCTGCCAGACTGTCAAGCATGCAAAGCACAGGGGCAAATGCCATCTTCCTGGTGTATTACAGAGAGCTTCAGTTTGCCATATATGCTAAAGTTTACAGGCAACCTGCATGGAAGCAGCTTTGCTATAAGGGCAAATCTGCAACGCATCCACATCACTTTACCAGTGCTGCTCTGAAGGCCTGAAAGGAAGAATTCATGCATGAATTCAAGCCCAATGTCCAACTGTTGCTTAAGTACTTAAAGTAGCATTTCAAACAGAAGGCGACTTTCACTTTCTAGATCTATGAATCTAGCCTCAATCCAAAGACTTTATTTTAGCTGATAGAATGAAAGATAGCCAGTTCTATATTAATATTGCTGTCAGTGATGCTTTTCAATAGCTCAATACTTGCCTGTACATCTAAACTATTATCTTCTGTGAAGAGCTGGGCACCAACCTCTTCTTTTTCCCATGGATCTAGGACCAGTGATTTTCTGACTTTTTTAGAAGAGTTGTGCTGCAAGAAACATTTTGCAGAGATAAATTGTAAAATATTATTTAAAAGCAGCTATTTCCTATTTGAAATTATTATGGTAATGTTACCTCCTGCTTGCAGCTTTTATACACAGTGTCATCTTCCTCCTTGAGAAATATATCTGTTCCGGTTTCCTCTTTCAAAACTTCTCGAATGTCTTCCTCCAAGAAGGCAAGTGGTTGTGACTAAGTTAATTAAAATTAGAGGAGAAAATACAGGAAGTCTATTTAATTGCTGGTTTTTACCATATTCTATGTTCAACTAGTGTAGGCCAGAAAAGAGATCGTGCAAAATATAGCAACAGATAAAAGGATTTAAGCTATTGTAGTTAACAACTACAAATCAACATTTCAAGGCTATGCAGATTTTTTCATTCATTTTACTCCATGTTATTTCTAGCCAGATAAAACATATACATGCACACAGTGCCTCAAAAATTGCAAGGCAGCATTGAAGAGGACATGCAAACTACTTGTTTGCATTTATTAGCAATGGTTATTCACTGACAAAAGCGATAAAAATACTTTATATATACTAAACATACATGAACACATATGTATATGTACATGCATACAAACATACCAAAAAATTGTACTATAAAAGTACGACCGTTGTTGTGAATGGAATTTATATCAATCTTAACACAAATCTTTGAATAAGACATTGGTAGTCCTAAGTACAGAATTTCACAGAAGCCATACAGATGGCTCCTTTGTGTAACAACAGGAGAAGAATTCCCTTAAGCCCTCAAAATTTGATTTTGAACAGGAGGTTAATAGTGGACAGAAACAGGAATGTCAAACCACTCCATTTGCATAGTGAGAGACTGTGAATCTATAGGGTAACACAGATGGTGCCAAGCCCTGTGGCAAAGTCTGAGCTACCTTCTGTGTCTGCAGAAAAGTAGTAGTCAATATATATCAGCTGGAATTTTTTCAGAACTTGAAAAGCATATGTCTCGTGAATTCCAAAAGTTATTATGCATTAACATACCTTAGCTAGGCTAGGAAGAGAGCAAAAACTGAATTCATTTGGAACAAACAAATAAACAAAGTAATATTATCCACAGTCAAAAAAAAAAAATTCTTCTCTGATAGCCAGAAGAATCAGAGGGAATCATGAATTGCTATACTAAGATTTTGGTTTTTAGGATGAAGAAAATTGTAGATGTCACTCAAGTAAGCCCCTAGGAAGGAGAAAACACTTCCAAACACCTTCCCATCAAAAAAGTTCTCAGAATACTAGCATGCTGTGGTAAACATCTAGTTTCAGTCCTAGCACTGTAGAAGAACCAAAACTAGAAAATAACTCAGCTTTTACATATGCAGAGGATTCCAAGATAATATAGTTTTTAGTCAAATGTCAAAGTTGCTTAAAATAACAGTCACACTCATCGGCACCAGCTTGCTCTTACTAGATTATCCAGTTGGAGGACCTACACTCCATTCACTCTCTCACTTACAGTTTTTATTTTGAAAAAGCAGAAAGTATTAAAATCAAAATCTCAGACAACGATGTTACCACCTCATAAGAGGTACAGTGTTAGCAAGGCTACACAAATTTAAAACAACTCACAAATGTGGAACCAATGCATTTACTATTACTACAGATCAAATTATTATATGCACCAAATACCATTCAAAAAGACAATGCCTCCATGCTACGCTGAAGGATACTATTCTAACATACAAAATCCGAAACACTTCTTATTCAGATTCTAGCTGTTCTCTCAGACAATATGGAATGTCACTGAAACAACACATTGTTACAAACGCTTTCTAAAATCATGCTGAGGCTTACAATATCTCAAAAACAAGAGGACATTTAGACATTAACAAAGAAAATAATAAACAATGTTATCACATACCATAAGTTTGAGGGGACCATACTTTTTTTCCTGAGCAGCCAAAGCATTTTTGAAAGGAGTTGGCGTCCTTGGTGTTGAACCCACAAAAGATCTTCTAATTGTGGGAGTTCTAAAACTATTCAAGCATAGAAAAGTGTTCATATATGCATTTTAATATTTTACTTTATCAACAGTAATTTAATAAAATTTAATTTTTAATTTACACAACAGATATCACCACCATGAATCTGAACATATTAAGATCACCATAGCATTAACCCCGGTATATTAAACTTTAATTGGACTTTGTTCAGTATTGTAAAAAAGGAAAAATTTTAACTCAGTACAAGTCACTTTCTGTTAAGTTAAAAACAGGAAGACAGCTTGTTTGTACGCAAGTTTTAAGTGTTAGGGGTTTTGAAACTCATTCACAGCATGCATACAGGTAGACTAATTTCTAAATTTTTAGAAAATCTTTGTTTTATTTGAGCAACATCACGAGATGTTTAACGTAATGATCCTACCCCACATTTTCCTTTTGATCTTTTGGTGTCATTTCCTTGTGTAGAGGAGTCGTAATAAGAACCTTCTGCCCACAGATTGGAGTTGATGTAAATGCAGGATTTTCAAGGTTAAATTGTTCATTTCCAGAGCAAGTGTTGAAAAACTAAGTGCAAGAGAAAAAAAAAATAAATAAAGTAAGGAACTTTAAAGAACAAAACTTCACCCCTGTACTGGGCAGTAAATAAAAATTACATGTATATATCTGAAGGGCTTTTACTGACAAACCCCAATAAACTGATCTTGACCTGTACTCCAAGACATTTGTGATATTTATCACTGAAACCTTGACTGTCTCATTAAAATCCCTAATCCTTAACTAGGTCACAGAGACAATAGATCTCTACATCAACAATTATTTGCATGAGAAAGTGTGAGTTGAGACTTAAGTCACTGTCCCCTTCCTGCACCAGTTAGTCTTCAAAACAGAGGAAACAGATTATTTAGCAATTTCTTTGTAATATATCTACCCTTATGTGTATGTTTTAAGAAGTTTTTGGACATATTGTTTAGGCTACAATGTACGACTAGGGAAGAAAGCACTTGTAATTTATAATCCACCCAATGTAGTCTTCATAGTTTAGCCATATTTAAAAATAAACTTACCTGGGATGGAGAAAATGGTAGTGTTTTCACTGGTGTATGCTTTAGTGCAACATTGATGGCGTCATTACACACGCCATCATTCAGTTCATTAACTGGTAATTGCCCAACACGGAATCTCTTTTTCTTTCTTAGGATAGTAGGTGGAGTGCTGAATTTAGTTACGTTTGGTGTTGTTGGAATAACTGCTTCTTCCTCACCACTGATGCTACTGTGTTTTTTGCCATCAAGCACAACACTGACATTATACTGGCACTCAGCAGCCCCTTCATTGTGTTGAATCCTCATTAGTTTCACTGGAGCTGGCTTGACAGGAGATGCAACAGCCTCTGAAAGCTCAAAACTGGTGACATCACTCCACACTATAGGATCCTATGAGGCAAGATACAAAACACTCAAACAGTAACAGGATTACGCAAGGTTATTTTACAATGTCCAAGCCAATCTAACAGCTCTCTATCTCCAGAAGCCATATGCTGAATTATTCTCCCTGTATCTTTCACACAATTCTAAAACACCGAATATTTTAAAACTCAATTCTTTTAAAAAAGGCAGTAAAACAAATCACTCAGTATGGGTGAAACTATAGAAAAATAAAGAATAAGGTAATTTTAAGAGCATTTTACACATATTGTGTAAGTTGATGTTCACAAATAAACATTTTTTAGAATAAATACAGACTTACAGATTCAATAAGGTCTAGTGTCTCTGCAAATTCTGGAATAGTTTGTAGAGATGATAACATTGTATTTGCTTCCACAGCCAAATACTTAGGTGGTGAATTCTGATGAACAGAGGTGACGCGGGTCTCATCCATGCTGTAGAACTCACTTGTTTGTTCCCCAAGGCTATTTAGTGTATTAGACACACAATCATCCGTGACAAAACTTCCAGTCCAACAAGGTAAGTTTACAGCTTGCTAAGAAGTATGAAGAAACACATTGTTCTTATTCAACTTAGAAGTTGAAAGGAGTCAATTATGTGACCACAGGGAGGAAAAAAAAAAGTAGTGTGCGGAAAGACTAAGCATAACTATTAATTTTTGCTTTTTCAAACACTAATCATCTGTTTGCATTAATGCAGTTAGTCTTCTCCTTACATTAATGTACTCCACATTCTCAAGTTGTGTAAGATTTTTATCTTACCTCTCTTTCATATCTTATACATGCTTATAACTTAGATAATTATAGGTTGTATTGGAAGCCATCTCTGATGCAAGTTTCCTGTGTTCCTGAACATCAGTATATTACGAAGTCATCTTCACTTCAGAACACAGGTACATTTTAAGATTAGAAACTATTTCTAGAATGTTAAATACTTCTTGTTTGATCTGATTTTTTTTTAAACGCAGATTCTGCATTGGTAGTTTACTTAACTTCTAAATAATAATCTACTAAACTTCTAAATAATCCTATTTCAGTATACTGCTTAGTATTCAACAAACAGATTTTAGTTTTCACTGGAAATCTAGAAGAAAAGGAGATTGCACTAGATAAGCAGAAGGTTGTGCTGTTTCAAAAGAATGCCAGGAATAGCTCCTCCACAAAAACTGGAAGTTTACTTGTAATCTAAAGTCGTGATGAATATGGTTGGGTTGGTTAGGTGTTTGATGTTGTTGACAGCCCTTTGTTCTTGAGGAAACAAGTGATTGCCATCTGCAAGTCTCCCTCATTCCACTGAAGCACATGTAAATTTTGTACAGTGCAAATTTATATACTGTTTGTGATGTCCAAATGTGTATATTAAGTATTACAAGCACCCACAAGAAGTTTGATAAAAATGTAATCTATAGGACATTTTGAAATCAAATAGGGCAAAACCTATGTGTTTTTCACCTTTCTCTGTTGAACAGATCATCGACATCACTGATCTAGAAAACTGAATGGTGGTGATATCAACAAATTTGCTGTCTCTTGAAGAGGATTAAAATCCTGTGTCTTAGAAACAACTGCCAAATTGCAGGTCATATTTCTGCTGTTTTCACAGTTTAGAAAACTGCACTAAAAATAATTTGTCTCAATTCTAATAAATAGACTTTGTTTTACAACCCAAAAGCCATAGGTTTGATTTTTAGAAGGTCACGTGAAAAAACACCAGACAAACCCAAACATCTACTACTAAATTGCTGAGGATCAATCTCAGTAAAGCATATTAAAATATTTACAGAAATTTACAGTCCTTACTGGAGGCATTCGTTTTCTTCTGATTTCATTCTCTGCTGACATAAGTAGCAATTCAAGTTCCTTTATTTTCTTTTCTTTATCAGGATCATCATCAACAAATGACTGCTGAAAAATTTAAGAAAGAAGCCATTTACTATCTTCCACCTCCACCATCCCTCCCCAGTAAAGATTCTACATTATAACACAGCTATACTTTTAACAGAAATCCACACATAGCAGGAACAAAGTTGTTCAAGCTGCATCATATTTTGTAATACAGTAGTCACTACTCGCAAGCAAAACTACTCCAGCAATTACCAGGAGATGGATCCCATCTTAAAGTGGTATACAAGCTAATATTTTAATTTACAGGCCATTTATAATACAGCCTGTAAATGCTCAGTATGCTGTAGCACTTGTTAAGCAAAAGTCACTAATTTCTGTCTTTAATAGAAACAACAATTTTGGCACCTTGGTAGATGTGTTCGTGTTTTCATGTGCTTTCAAGAATTTTTAGTTATTTATCTTCACTAACTGTGCAAGAAAGTGTTTCAAGTCAGCATTTACTGACAGTGTCTACATAAACAATCCCACCATGAGGATCAGAAAAGAAAATTAACTAATTGGTGTTGGTTGGTTTGTTTTTAACCTCCTTAAAACTTTCTACTATTGCTATAAATATAGGTAGGTGAGGATATATGCCATGAGTTTCAAAACTAGTTATACGCCTCAGTTTAGGGAGGACTTCAAGGAGCAGAAAGTATCTGCCAAGGGAAATCCAGAATGTCAAAGGCCATATAGGAGGCTTTGTCATGACTTGTATTCTTACACTGAGATCAGGCAAGAAAACGCAACATGAAACAGATGACCTCCACAGGGAAACTTAAGGTTAGGTACAGAGTTCTGCAGAATGCCTTTAACACATCTAGTACAAACAAACTATGTACTATTCCCTGTGTCAAAATAAATTTTTAATAATGTCAAATTAGTAACAAAAATTATTCCAGGAAGTCATACGCCGAACCAACATCTACATTCAGTCTGCAACACATGAGGAATTTCAGATACATTCCAGGTGAGCTCAAAGGAGCAAAAGGAAATTAATATATCATTTTTTGTTTGTTTTAAAGTTTCTCAGTACTTCAGCATTTAGAATGTTGCAGAAGAGCATCTTCAACACACTGACAGAAGTTTATCAGAACAAAAATGCACAGTTATTAAGTCACAGTAAGTTATTTTAACTGAGTCTTTCAGATAGGGTCATATTTATTACATACATGAAGTAGTAAAATCTTGTCTTTAAGTCCCTCAGAAACTAGGCAATCCTAACAGGTCATAATGTTTTAAGCCATGCTTCTGTCAGAAATAAGCACAACCATTGGATTTCTGGGATGTACAAAGACAGCTCCTTTTTTCCTACCTAGAACTACAAATTAAGCTAGCAAGCCTACTTACAGAGGAGCACTTTACATAAATTTAGGCGAATGACAAAGAAAGATATGTTGAAGTTACAGGTTTTTAAACTCTTTGTTTTACAGCATAACACACAGTACATACTCTTCATTTACAATGCACATTAGTGATTTACCTGAACTAAGTTGGAAGAAGCTGAAGCATGTTCTAGACAGCTGCCTTCTGGTGAGGCATACTGGTATGCTGGAATCTAAAAAGACATAAATCATTTTACAAACCCTAAAGAAAAGGAGGCTACAAAATTATCTCTAGTTTATTGTACATACGCTATTTATTATGGTTTACAAATCCTAAGTTACCACAATATCACAAAAATACTCAACAGATCTCCATTCTTTCAAATTTCTCAATTCCAAACCAAATAAACTATTTGAAACTGGGAAACACTAATTCCGGATTTTGAACTTACATGTGTCTGAACAGGTATGTAATATTGATTCTGAGTGTGCGAGTGTTCCATAGTCAGACAAGGTTGGGGCTGAAGTGTGGATGAACTAGCTCTTTCAGACTTTATAACATCTTGTAAATACCCTTCTTGTTCCACCTTTCTTCGCATTGTTGAATTCCAGTGATTTTTAATTGAATTATCAGTCCTAAAATGAAAGTGCACAAGAGTGGCTCGTTTCCATATCTCAAACTTTAATATGGCATCATTTACAGGGTTTGTACAGTAGGTTAATCTGAAGCCACAAATCCAGAAAGCTCCAGCAGCTTGGACTGAAAGTTCTATTATCAGTGGGGTTTTGGCAGAATAACTAGAAAGCTACTCTTTTCAAAACTTCCTTCTACTGAACTTCATGTCTGCAGAAAACTAAAAGTAGCAAAACAGAAAACCTTGGTTCTGGCTATTAGCATGGGTGAGAACCTTTTTTCTTGGATACTTGGAACAACCATGTGTTGTCTGTCACTACATTATTTACTCTCTGCTACCAGTTTGCAGAACATGAAGCTAAGGCAATCACCCTACTGTCCCACAGTATACTAAGGACACTGTGGGTAGTGTTTGCCACCGGAAGATGTCCCTTCTAAAAAAAAAAAAAAAAAAAAAAAAAAAAAAAAAAAAAAAAGCCTGCATTCCCAGCTCCAAGTTTTATATGCAGCTTTATGGAAGAACATACCACTTCCTCTTGGGTGCCCTTGATCTTGTGTGAGGAAAGCAGGCATGGCAGAAGACCAGTACCCACTGTCACTCCCCTTGGAAAGAAAACGCCTGCAGTTTGACAAGCAGGTTGAAATAACTTTTAACACTAGACAGGCATTAAGGCAAGAATAGAGTTTTAATGCATTGCAGTCTAAAATACTAGCAATATTATTACTAGCCTTAGCATGAAGTACACAAAAATAAAAATTGCTTTAAGTCCCATTCTTCATTTCAGCTCAACTGAAAGAAGTATCCCTCTTTTTCATCCCAGTAGTGTTAGATTCTTTACAAATCTAAGTCTAGGACCCAATCTTTACCTAAGAATCTCATCTTGGATTTATTTCCAACAAATAAGTTAGTTAATTAGGAATGCCTCTGTCCTTACAAAACCATCTTTCCTCTCCAAAATCCTATTAAGATGCAACCTATTCCCTTCCCATTCCTCCAAAGGATTTCCTGTGATTCATGGATTGTGTACTTAACCAAAATGTCAAATTTTTAAACACACACCTTTACGGACTCATCCTCCCAACATAACAAGTGCTGACATTCCTTAGGCACAGCTAGAGAGTCACCTCCTGAACCCAGACTAAATTCAGAGAGGGAGAGCTTAACACTGAATTTCAATTAACGGTACAAGGTAAAAAAATTTATTTCATTAAACTCTTTATACACTAAAATTTTGTTTTCCGCAAGCATATGTTGGGAATCATACGTGAAACAAAGATAAAGAAAACAATGCATACAATTCATTCTTAACTTAGAGACTACATAGTAACCAACTAGCTTTGCAACACATGACTCGTAAGCCTGGAATACTGAAGGTTACTAAGATCATTTTTTTTCAGTGTCCTGTTTAACAAGAAGCATTCGACAAAAATAAATTAAAAAATAATTTCTGATCTTAAACCAAAAAGACAGCCACCCCCAAATGCATATTAATGAAGGCACTTTGATATCAAGTCATAGGATGTTAAGACATTCTTCCACTATTACTTGCAGTTACTCTTCAGCTCTACTACAGTTTGTTTTTTTCTTTCCTAAAGGAACAGGAGGATTTTTGAAGGAACCTGCAGAGTTTTAGAGGTCTTTTATTGGTTTTATGGCTTTTTAATAATACATAATCAAATGCAAAAGATCTTAAAAAAAATTTCAGCATCTATCAAGATAAAGATGTTGTGATGTAAGTTTCAACAGATGCTCCCTGACTAACAGATTACATTGGAAAGAGTTGTGCAATGACTGCCTTCCATATTCCAATATTTAACACAGATAGAGTTGAAAAGCACCTTCCAGGAAGAAGTTTTGCTATTTCAGCCCATCGGTTTCCCAAACGCTTGTGAGCTTCATAGATTATTCTGTCCTCTTCTTCAGTCCACGAAGACTTTTTTACTTCAGGATTGAGATGGTTATGCCATCTCTCTCTGCATTGCTTGCCTATTCTTCCTTTCAGGTGTTTTGCAATTAGAGACCAGCGCTTTGGACCATACTTCTGAACTAATTCAATAACCTGGAACACAGATAAAAGCATGTTATAACTCCAAATCCTAATTTTCCTCATCAAAGACTGAGAACACTGATAAACACATATTTTAGATTAGGATTATAACAGTCAACTTGATAAGACACTAGGCCTAAGGAGGCAGACAGTGACTTGGGGTTTTAAAAATTATTTTCAAGAAATCAAAAAATTGCTTGTTAACTCCAAATTCACTGTGTTTAGAATATAAGTATAAACTGATGAAAACAATCATTTTGAAGTTTCCTTCTGTCACCCACTGCATAAACTGACACTAGGAAAGATCAAAAAAAGAAGCTGGTAAAGATGCCTTGTTTGACTTTTTTCAACAACATACGTACGAGGAAAAAACCACACCTCTACTCCCAAACTTCATCCCATTTCTACATGTCTTACAAATTTGAATCTTTTTCTTAGAAGTCTGATGAGAACTGTAAAAAAATAGATTAGGAAGGCCATATTCACAAGTTGACAAACACTGATATTAAACATGTTAAAACAGTTTTTAAAACAGTGGGAATAAGTGGTCGATTTGAAATATATGTGAAAACTCTATGTGCACCTCCCTACAGGGCAGTCCAGGTTTTGCAGGCAAAAAACTGCAGCGCGGACTAACAGAGATGGTGAAAAGGGGGATAAAACACCATTGCTAGCTTCTTTAACAGTACAGTATGAAATAATTTCCCTTATTACCAACCCCTTTAAATCTGTTGGGTTTGAGGAACAAAAAAATGTGAGACCTTTGATCTTCAGTGCTGTAAAGAGAGCTCCTCTACTTGGTAAGCTAAAGTAGTCCAGTTAGCAATCTGAGCAAAGGGAAATAAAACACTTGAGCAGACCAGACATTCCATCTACTTAAAAGCAGCTGCGGTTTTTTTTCTTTCTCATACAGCATAATGTCTGATGAATCTTATACCTAGATAACATCATCTTTTGGGGGATGAAACCTAAGAAAAAGTACACATTCTTAGCAGTCGTGTGCCAACTTCATTACAGTAAAAGAGTATCAATTAGTTTTCATTACCCTCTGATCTTCTTCTTTAGTCCAGGGACCTTTAATCAATTCTGGGTTTAATACCTTCTGCCATCGATGCTGGCACTGAAAATCTGAACGATTCTGAAATAGTTTTAGAAGACCGGTGTAGGTGTTAAACTCTTGAACACATAAAACTGTAAATATTAGCTAGCCAGAATTATTAGCTTATTTCAAATCAAAAGACTTATTCTGACCTTCGTTCTAAGTATAACAGTTAAATTCTCCCTTATTATTTCTTCTTCCATTTGCTTAAAAATACTCTTCTCCAGAAAAAAACAGCCTTGCACAAAGCTCTAAACCTAGTATTATTTTTGTCCTCATGACTCCACACCTTCTCTGAACTTTATGTGATTGACATGATTTTGACATTACCTATAACCTATGCAAGGAAATAAATTTTTAAAGGAAATACTTTTTATTTAAAAACAAACTTTTTTTCTAAGTCTCAAATGAATATATTCTCAGCTCTTTACTACAGCATTAAGGAAAACAGATTTATATCAAGTTTAGCTAACACATACTAATTAAACATTGCTTTTTCTGCTCAGGACAGATGGTGCTTTTCTACAGTTTCACTAAGGATCTTTTGAAATATTGTTCCTAGTTATGAAAGAGAAGTGAGCTTTCACTCAGCCTCCTAAAAACTGTCTGCAGGAAAGTGGGACTCTCAGGGTAGTTCGTCCAATTCTTAGAAATATGCAGATAAGAGCCTGCCCCAGCACAGCATACTACTACACCTTTTATAACACTGGGACATGATTATTTACTCTCTTCAGTGCGAGATGCTGGATAGCAGGTACCGATTTAGAGGTTTTGCTGGGCTTGTCTACCAAGTAAAGGCGTTACCATGCTAAGATGGAAGTTAAACAAGCAGCAGTCTGCAAGATGAGAAAAAAACACCCGAAACACTGTTACAGCCAAAATTACATTGACCACAGTACCTTCAAGTTAATCACAAGTAGACACTGCATGATTAAAAGCAACAAGAGTTTTGTAACAAAACATCATCATTTCCTGGCAGAGACAATAGAATTCAAGTCTATTTTTACCTAGTTACACAGGAATTTCATACAACCGTATCATCTCACTCGATATAAGAATCCCAAAGGCAGGGGCAGAGGTATCTCTAACATTTCAATATTCAATACCACTTCTAGGTAATTATTTCCAGCCTTAGATTCTAGCCATGGTTTTACAGTAGGCATTTTATAACGTTTAATCAGAAAAGAAACAAACATCATTGACTCTAGTTGTAAGTATTTTCTACCATTGCAGCTCGTACAGCTGAAGAGTCATTTAATGTTTGAACCAACAGCTCCTTTACTCATTCCACCTGACCACTGGAACAAAACAAGAAATTTTAAGTATCAGTAGGACACTCCCAAGAAACCCGCAAAGGTTCCATTCATAGAAAATGAAGATATCATTGGTCGGAAAGATTTACATGTTAGGGAAGCAGATATCACTGTAAAAAAAAAAACAAAAAAAAACAAACAAAAAAAACCAACCTAACAAACATCAAAACAAAAAAACCTAAGGCACTTGAGAAATTGATCCTGCTCCTTTCAAGCAATGTTTCAGATGCAACCCACTCTCCTAACTGCTTTAGAAGCAACCTGTAAACTGCGTATGTAACTACCACAAGTGATGAAACCAATAGCAAGCAGGAATATATTCCAGAATTAAAACAAATAGCAAGCGTGGACAGAAGGCATCATTTTTCATCACTTCAGACTATCACTTAAGCCCCAGCCTGAGCTGATAAGGTTCTCCAAGGTCTGAGCTAGATCTCAAGTCCAATTTACAAGCATCCTTTAAAATACTTTTTTTTTTTACTCTTATGTGTTTCCAATTTCTATTTCACCTCATTTCCAAACTAGACATCTGATCAAAGCAAATAAATATTAACACAGCACTTATCTGAAACAGAGATTCAACTTACTTGTAGATGACTAGCAATGAAAGCCCAATCATCTGTACCATTTTGTTCCACCAGCTTCTTTAGCCTTTCATCCTGTTAAGACATAACCTCAGCCGGTAAATGTTACATGCTATCTCAACACAACACTAAACAATAACATATTTCATGTGCTACCCGTATCATACAGGAATGAAACTAAAGGCAAAAAAAAAAAAAGCATTACCTCATCACGTGTCCATTTCACCCTGTTACATATCTTCTTCAAACCTTTTTGCTGTGGCACTTCATAGTCATGATCCACATATTGAAAGTCATCATCTTCCTCACTGCAGAATACAACAGAAGAGCGAAGAAGACAGTTTAAAATAACTCAGAATAACTTATTTTTTCTAATGACTTGTGGCTTTTTTTCAATCTGTACAAATTGATGTAAAATGACACATGGAATTTGCGCGAACATAAGATCTGCCTCCAGCAGTGGCAGCAGTGGAACAGCATTAGTTTTAATTTCAAGGCCACATACTGGGACACGAACCATTAACTCATTCCAAGTTAATTATTAAGTTGGAAGCAAAAGCTACTGTTTAAGATCACGTTTTTGTAACACACTTATGAATCTTTATTTTATACAAATGAGCTTATAAGATAAAGCAGTGTGCTAGCCTGCAAAATATATTCATATTCCACCTCCATAGCTCAAACGACAAACACAACAAGGGCGCCAAATAATTTACCGTCCACTTGAGATTTTAAGCAGGCTACTTAATATCAAATTAATGTCAAATAAAACCATTGCCTCAGTGTTACAGGAATTAGATACAAATCGTTGAAGACAGAAATATTCCGGCAAGAAATAACTACCATATCAGTGCTGAGCCTGTAAGTTCAGAATCAGAAGGGCAGGAAGCCAGGTAACCTCTGTGTTTCCGCGTAGATCACACTCCATCTACTGGAGAGACGCATTCTTCACAGCCTTGATAAACAAAGCCTTACAAACAAGCCGCACAGGGAAATGTTTCATGGAAATATCACTTAAACTTATATGTCAGTGACTCATGTTACCATAAATTCAAACACATGTGGAAACCTAGGCCTAACAACAGGATGAGCAGTTCCTCTGCATTAGTTATAGCAAAGACACAAAGAAGGGACTCCCATCCAAATACACAGCTTTAATTAAAAGCAGTTTCACATTGCAATCTTAATTTTCCTCCATTTTATTACTAGTATAAAGCACGATATAAATATCATTACTTCATGTTCGAAACTCAATTTATTAGTTCTGCTCAGCCTTGAAAATTACTTCCATTTTCTAACCAAATGCAAAAAAACACTTTTCCAGTAATGGAATTAACCTGTGCTGGTGTCCTAAGAACTGATCAGATGGCAGATCTCTACATTATTTTCCAGAACATGCAATTCACCCACACAGCATGCTGATCAGCCATTTATGTGTATTTGTTATGTCTCATGAAGTGGGTATGTGCTCTGTGGTTAACACAAATATATGGTCATTCAAGAGCAGCATTACTTAGCTGAAAGCATTGCAACAAGATAGTTGTACCCAGCTCTTGCAGACCCAGTGTATTTCGCATTGCTTCCACATCCTACACCACACCTGGATCTGCCCATTTGCCTAGCTTCATGATGCAGCAGAAATAGATATTAACACATAAACATATTAAAACTTTGTGGACCCAGTGAAATACAAAGCACTAAGCTTGTCTAAAGGTCAACAGAAAGTTCTTCACAGTACTTACAAAAAAATAATCTGCAAACAAAATGACTGTAAGAGTTTTGCATTAAGTGTCTTAGGACTTAAGAAAATAGGATTTAAACTCACAGATAACTAAGAGTTTTCTCTTCCCCCTCCCACCTCCTTTTTTTGTCTCTTATCCACAGGTTCTCAACAAACTTCAGGAGTATATCCTGGTATTAAAAGGAGCATACATAGATATTATAATCCTATTTCATGTCATAACTACAATTTGGTCTTGTGGTTAAACTGTTTGTCAACATGACCTCCTTACTCACCCACTGCACAGCAAACCAGCTCAAGAACAGAGTCTTCAGTTATGCAAAATGTCATGAGGATTTTAAAAAGAGGAAGGGCTCGGTGTACACAGCAGTGATGCTGACAAGACCACCGGTACCAGACAACATAGGGTCTCTGTAGGCAGTGGCAGTTAAGAACCCTGCACCTGGACTTCTCCAGCAGCATGCACATCCCACAGCCAAACCGGCACAGCCATCGGCCACTTCCATGTGCTCCACAGGCCAGAGGGCCAGCCAAGCAGGCACTAAGCTCTCTTGCACCTTGATTGCACATGAATAACTGTTTAGTCTTTGGTCTTGTTGAGACTAGTACAGCAATAGACTATAAATTAAATATACATGAATGGTTGGGACTACTAACTTCAGTTTTCAATTAAAAAGAACAGATTTTCAAACACGTTGGGTTGTTACAGTTCATTTGACAATTCTTTTGCAGTTATGAAACTGTGCTCAAATACTGCACAAAAGTAGAACGCAACCATTGAATTTCATAAAATAAGAAATCTGGAAAAATAAAGTATTTCATCAGTTCTGTGTTAGCTGCCTGCAATTCTGAGTTGAGAACAATTAAAGGAAAAAATTGAGCTTCCAAATGCAAAAAAAAAAAACCAAAAACTAAGAGCCGTTTAACAAAATTAAACTTAATCTCCTTACTCCACACCTAGATTAACAAACTTTAAGTTACCTTTATGTAAACTCATAACTACAATGATTTCATTTTGAAGATAACATCATCACACACTAACACAGTATTCCTCTAGGGCTACTGATCTCTAACCAAACGTTCCTCTGCTATCCACAACCAGTTGTATTTTCAATTATAACATCAAAGCACTTCATACCCATGAGAGATAATACAAGCTAACACTCTGCAAAGATGAAACTATTGTTTGCAACACCACAGATGAAAGTCTCTTAAACTACAAAATGCAGATGAGGAGTAACAAGAAACATCCTCTCTCTGAGCTAACTCTTGCAGACAGCTAAATACAGACAGCTCCAGCGGTTAGCCTCTGCAAGCAAAGCCCCTTAATGAACCTTTGTTCCTTACACAACTAGAAACCCAAAGCATTGCTTTATTGATTTAGTTGCAATTTTGCAGAAAAAAAAATATTAATTTATGAAGTCTTTTCATGTCAGAGGAAAATGCAGAAGCAGTTTTAATATCTGTAACTTCGAAACCACCCCCAATTCCATGGGAAGTATGCAGTCATGGTAAACCCCTGATGCCATAGGTAACTCAGGCATTAGTATTACTCACTGAACATTCTTTCCTTTCTCAGTCCTAATCTTTTACATTTCTTTAACACTTTTTAGAAATGGATTTTCTACTTGGGACAGGAATAACTATAGCAACAAAACAGTTCTCCAAGACCCACCTTCTAAATACAAAGTAAAGACACACACATTTTCTTATCAATAAAGTATCTAAACCATCTGGGCCTGCTGCTGAAGCTCTTAAGAAAAGCGTTCTCTCTCAGGAATATTTCAGGCTAGATTGTGACATCTTCAATCAAAGAATGTGCCAAATCAAAGAAAGAGGCGCACTTAAAATACTGGAAGAATGAGGAGGCCTGAACATTAACTGAACAACACCAAACCTTATTTTAAGGCTGTGCCAGAGCCACTCAGGAGCTCAGAAAAGCAAGAAATGTTATTCTAGCAGGAGGGAAGTAGCCAGCAGGAAAAACTACTGCGGAGACAACGTAGTCATTACTGACAGGCTCAGGGACCACAGAAAAGAAAAGCCAAGGAGTTGCCTAGGTAAGATACAACAAAGATGGCCTGAGTGAAAGCACAGAAGTGAGAGCAGGGAAGGAAGGTGAGGTTTATACCCGAGAGCTGGTGCTCCTAAGCCAGAGGGAAGACAGATACCTGCGCGGGTACCGGGCGAGGGAGGAATCCGAGGGGAGAGGGAGGGCGGCGGGCAGCGACACCCGAGGCGGGTGGCAGGAGGCCGAGAACAGCACCAGCACAGCTCGGCGCGGGGGCGAGGGGCAGCACGGGCGGG